TGGCCTTTCTCCAGTCCTCGGGCACCTCTCCTGTCCTCCAGGACCTCTCAAAGATGATGGAGAGTGGCTCAGCAATGACATCCGCCAGCTCCCTCAGCACTCATGGGTGCATTCCATCGGGGCCCATGGATTTGTAGGCATCCAGATTGCTTGAGTGCTCCCTCACGCAGTCCTCCTCGACCAAGGGAGAGTGCTCCTTTCTGCAGGCTTCCTGTCTCAGCTGCAGGGCCTGGGATTCCTGAGGGCCAGGCTTGGCACTGAGGACTGAAGCAGTTGCGGCATTCAGTAGCTCTGCCTTCTCTGCATCATCTGTCACCAGGACACTCTCCTCGTTCAGCAGCGGCCCCACATTATCCCTAGCCTTTCTTTTGCTGCTGATGTAGTTGAAGAAGCCCTTCTTCTTGTCTTGGACATCCCTTGCCAGATTTAATTCCAGGTGGGCTTTGGCCTTCCTCGTCACATCCCTGCACGCTCTGACCACATTCCTGTATTCTTCCGAAGTAGCCGGCCCCTCTTTCCACATTCCATGGACCCTTCTCTTCCACCTGATCTCCGCTAGAAGCTCCTTGTTCAACCATGCAGGTCTCCTGCCTCCTATGCTCAATTTCTTTCTCAGGGGCATGCACTGCTCCTGAGCATGGAGGAAGGGACGTTTAAACAGCAACCAGCACTCTTGGACCCCCCTGCTTTCAAGAGCCCTGGCCCACGGGATTCCTCCCAGTAGCTCCCTGAAAAGGCCAAAGTTAGCCCTCCTGAGGTCCAAGGTTTTGATCCTACTTATTGCCCTGCTTCCTCCACGCGGGATCCTGAACTTGACCATTTCATGGTCACTGCAGCCGAGTCTACCACCGACCTTCACATCCTCAACCAGTCCCTCCTTGTTTGTTAAGACAAGGTTCAGTAGAGCGCCTTTGCTTGTTGGTTCCTCCACCACTTGCATCAGAAAGTTGTCATCAGTGCTCTGTAGGAACCTCCTGGATTGCATGTGCCTGGCTGTGCGGTCTTCCCAGCTGATGTCAGGGTGAAGTCCTCCACGAGAACCAGGGCCTGTGGCTGTGAGGCTGCTTGCAGCTGCGTGCAGAAGGCCTCATCAACTTCCTCCTCCTGGTTAGGTGGCCTATAGTACACACCCACCCTAACCCTTATGAGCCTGTCCCTTAATTCTAACCCACAAGCTCTCAACTCGTTCCTCATTTGCCCCCAGGCCAAGCTCAATGCATTCCAGTTGCTCCCTCACATATAGAGCAACTCACTTTATAAATCAGGTCTTGGGAAATGACAATTGGCGTGATGGAAGCAGACAACTTCTGTCAAACCGGAAGTAGGAAGATGGGAGATTTTGGTCAAAATCAATATAGCAAACCATTGATTTGTTAAAAGTACCAGAAAAAGCTTGACAGCTAACAAGACCTTTTTGGAGTCTTCTCCAAAACTCTCATCCTCCTTTGAGGTACTCAAGTCTATCTGAATGTAGAAAAGGTAAATCAGTTCTGCCAAGATTCATAGTCCAGTAAAACTCAATCCATTAATCTTCAACACACTTCCATTCTCCATGGAAGTTTCAAGGTCAGGTTGGACGGGGCTTTGAGCAACCTGGTCTAGGGCAAGGTGTCCCTGCCCATGGCAGAGGGGCTGGAACGAGATGATGTATAATGTCCCTTCCAACCCAAAAGAGGATTCTAGTGAATCAGAATGGCAAGCTATCTACCAGTACAACAGTGTGAAAAGCATGTTAAAGTGAACAGCGCTCCCTAGACACACACGCAACACCTTGAAGAAAATGAGTTGTGTTGGTAATGAAAAGTCCTTGCAAAAAAACCTTGTGAAACCCTCCTCTTCAATAACGAGTAAAATGTATTTGCTCTACTTGTTTCAAGTAATTCAGAGCTTATCTTCAAAGTTAGAATACAAAGTTTCCATGAGGATTTGGCAAGGTAAGAGAAGAACAGAAAGTTAAAAAAGACAAAAGAGAAAAAGCTTTGAATACATTCTATTGTCAATATTCTAAAAACACATTTGAGTCTTAAATCAAAATTTTGCGTATTAGGCTTTATATGAAAAAAACCAAAGAGCGTTTCTGCCCCAACAATTCTCACAGGGCAAAAGGAGTAAAAATCCTCTGATCAACAAGTAATGCGAACAACATACAACAGAAAAAAAACAGATTTTAATGTGATATATGAAGGCATCTAGGAGGCAGCCAGCTTGTAGATACTTATGAGGAGATGCTTCTACATAAAGTTTCTGCATAATGGGGGTTCTTTGTGAAATTTCTCTGCATGTCACTTAGCAGCATCATTTGCGAAGTGGAGGTATGTACCACCCTACTAAAAGCAAGCACTGATACACAGAGAAAAGGAAAGGGAGAAGTCCAGAAGGGGCCCTAAAAAAAAAATAACAGTTATTTGAGTGTCAGGGTGAGGGATTAGAAGGGCAATGAAAACTGTCACAGCAATGAGAATTGAGTGATTTGTCTTCACATCAGTGTTTTGAATGTACATGTGAGGCACACAGCGTTTACTCAGCACACAGAAGACACATGAGAAGGACATCTTAGTCCAGATGAACAACAAGATTTAACTGCGTGATAACACAACAGTGATTCAGAAGCAGTCAGAAGTTTTAGATCTTGCCTGTAAGTGGGAGGATACCAAACTGTAGTGACTTACAGACTTGCCTGAGACAATTACTAGGCAAGAGACTTAACTGTACTCAAATGACTTCACATCACTGTACTACACGAACCACGTCAGAAACACGGCATCTCTCAACAGATTTCTGAGTATCAAAATACCTATCAGAACACAGAATAACCTTCCAAAGGAAACCCCACTGCTTCAAAATTTCTAATGCAGTAAACTGTAGGAAAAGTGTCATCTATTGTCACAGGAGTAGACCAGACAATTCAAAGCATAGTCAACGATAACGTCAGCTGACAAAGCTACTCTCACTACTCAGATCACAGAATCACAGAATAGTAGGGGTTGGAAGGGACCTCTGTGGGTCATCTAGTCCAACCCACCCGCCAAAGCAGGATAACCTACAGCAGGCTGCACAGGACCTTGTCCAGGCGGGTCTTGAATATC